GATATATTAAATAATATTTACAAATAATAATTAAAGTTGATTCAATATAAAAGTAGGAAAGAGATGATGTGAAGTGATGGTTATGTGAGTAGATGGATAGTGAATTAAAGTTGATGTGAGGTGTAAAAATGATTGATTAATATTATTTAATTATATATATGATATTGAGGTTAGTGGCGTTGAGTTAAAATTGAGTTAGATTTTGAATTGCATTGAGTATGAAATGAAAATTTTTATATCCAATCACGCCCTAAAAGATCTCCAGTTTTCCCAACACGTTGCTGCAAATTTTCTCCAGTTTTCTCCATTTTTTTTTTGGAAAAAATGAACATGTTACATGATAAGAAATTGTATTGGATTTCCAGTTTTCCCAACACGTTGCTGCAAATTTTCCACTCATCAAGTTCAAATGTGCATGAGCGGTTACAAAACTATAAGATGTAGTAGTTAAGACCAAATCGATTGAATCAAGTCGGCAATGTCTGGAATGATATAATACATCATAGGCCAATTATTTTGGTAATTTGATCGGATAAGGAATTTGATTGACATAAACAAAAGTTGTTATTATCAGCTCATCACTGCCTTTTCCGAAAGAAATATTACATAGCACCAACTACTTTGGCAAATGCCATGGCCACAACAGCAATAGTGCCAATTTATAAAAAAATGATGGCAACACTGTTCAGTGACTAAAAGCATGAGAAAATTCATCTCCACCAGAAAACAAAAACTAATATATAGTCTCCGAACTAAAACATCACTATCTCTTCTCCTATAGGAACCACAAGTAAGATCTTTTCCAGTTGCATAAATGTTTCACCCAATTTGTGAATACTATTTACCATCAACGAATAAGATCAAGGAGCATGACCAAATCACAGATCTATAATTTCTTGTGAGAAAGTCTCCCCAATTCAAATGTATTATCATTCTTATCCAAGTCCGAAAATGCAAGAATAATCTTTGGGATATAACTTAGCTCTTCAAACCTAAGCAACACACATTCCATAGAAACACTAAAAAATCTTAATCTCCTAAAATCAGAACCTAACAAGGGTATTGCATTTCATTGTGTCAAACTAGAAGACTTGAGAACTCAAGAAGACAGTATTCTTTGCAGGGCTTCTATCCCTCAACTACACCATCACCGAATTACTACAGAGCCCATATTATATTTCAAAGACCCAATACTATTGATATTCCCACAAATCATTCTCCATGCTGCCCAAGACAGCAGAAAACCTGTTCCAACTCTTTTTTATCCCATACTCAACTCACATTGTAACGGTTTCAATGGGAAAACGGATCAATCCGTATTATTGTTGCTTGAACTCATGACAATCACCAGGCACCAATTCAAACACACCCAGCTCTCCTCATCTCTCAGATTGCTAATTAAATTGCCCATCACTAAAATCGATATATAAACCCTAAAGTTGAAAAAAAAATGTTCAGAATCACAAAATGCTAGAATCAAAAGTTTCCTTAAGACTCAGATCATCCAAGAATGAGCTAGCAAACACTAGCAACAAAAACTTAAAAGGTAAAAAAAATCTCAAAATGGGGAAACGAAAATCAAAATAAGGGAAAAAAGAACAGAAAATTGAAACTCTAAGAGGCTCCTCAGCTCTGATAAAAAAACTAATCAAACAACACTAATTAGGTGATAAATAGGGAGGGAAAACCAGATGCCCAAAACCAAAACCCAAAAATCTTACATGGATGAAGCAGAACTTTAGTTACAAGCTTACCAAAAAAACAAACTTTCAACTGATAACAGCTTACTTGTTGAAGGGGAGCCTATATCTGGGCTCCATTGAAGTAGGAGATGAGCCCCTCATGTCGTCCTTGCAAAGGCAACACGATACCTAGGTTTGCCTTCTAGAAATGAATCTGTCAGCAAATTTCTTTTTTCGACTGATTTTCACGAATCTGGTTTGAGAAAAACTCTTTTTGTCAGTGAGTAGTTTGCTGCTGAAGAAGAGGAGAGAAAATGCCAAAGACGAAGGATTTGATGCAAAAAGAGAGTACAAGTATATAATAAAAATTTATGTGGTGCATTTATAGTATATTATATTAAATTATTAAAGGCATGATTAGTGGAATCTCCACTTAATCAACTTTTTTTAACGACCACTTTCCCTAAAGCTCTCTCTCTCTCAAACTCTTCCANTTTTTCTCTTTTTTTCAGTTCTGTAGAAATTTAATCACAGCAAAAACTAGAATTAAAAATACATCAGAAAATAATCACGAATGTCGGTTGGTGATTACATGTGGGCCCTTAACTAACTAATTATTTTCTATATTATAATGTTGACTAATTGAATTGCACTTTGGTATAAAATAAATCAATTTTTTCTGATCAAATAACTTTTTTTTAATATTTTAAAATATAAAATTTAACTCAAATTTAATCTAATTCAACTCTCATCGGGTAATTCGGCTTCCTCCTTAACCTCACCATCCAGAGTTGCATGCTGGTTTTGGGACAGGACATGCACCCCACGAAATGGTTCTCCCCCTTACTAGAAGTCGGATAATCAATCATTCTCACACAGCACATCAGCTTAATCCACTATCTATCTGTTGGCATAATTTTAACCACCAATCATTTTCATTAATCTTTATCGTACTTTTACACGCACCTTTCTCATATTTTTATAACATCAACTTTCATTATACTTTAAATACTCTTTAAATACAAACTTAAAATCACACTCTTCATATTGTAGTTCAAGCAAAAGTGCTCAAAGCTCATCGACAGATACTGAAACACGATATCGACCTGGGTTACCCCATCAATCTCGACCCCAATGACCTCCAGCTCATTGAGTTGGGCTATCAATACAAAGTCATGATCCCTTACGGGAGTGCCCTCTACTATGGTTGTATTTATCATCAATCTCATGGTCTCCTACCTGGCAGCCCGTGACTGATGGCCACAAAGTTTACTGAGATTGAGAAGCATATCATAAGTGGAACCCATGGGCTGATGCTGGTGTTGCATCACATTTGACATAGAAGCCAAGATGTACGAATTGCCCTCAGAGAGTACGAATTGCCTTGATGAATTGCTTGATTGCTTTGAATCAATGATTTATTTGCCTTGGGAGGATTTGAGCCTTATTTTATTTCTTGTGTGATTAGTCGAATTCTTGGGATACTAGAACTTGCATTGGTGCTTACTTGAAAAATATGATTATGTACGTAAAGTTTAGAAAATCATTCAGACAGTTCTTGTTATCTAGCCTGTTTTATCCTCTTTTATTTTTCCTAAAATTTTATCCTTAGTATCTCGTTTGAGCCTTGAGCCCTTTATTGATAGTTCTTGCTTGATTGATTTTAATTATTTGGAGATGCTGGGGTTGAATGAAGCTTTATGTGATGATGAGCTATGATGATTTTTGTTTTGGAAATAATGAGTATGAAATGTGTTATGATTTGTTTATGTAATTTGATGCATTTGATTGAAAAAAATAAATGAAAAAAAAAAAAGAATGAAGAGAGCTCGCAAGGTGAATTGTGGAGAATCCTCTTACTTTTGATTCGATTTTGTCGAGTTATGAGTAATGAGTAATGAGAAACCATTCTAGGACACTTGGATGATGTCCAACGGCTATACTTAAAAAATATTGTCCGTGCAATTTATTCTTGTTTGAAAAAATTGGTCTCTTGAAAAAAAAAAGAGAAGAAAAAAAATGAAAAGGAAAAAAAAAAAG